TGGGCTATCTATGCAACAATCAAAGAGTTTGGATGTGCAATACAGAATGAATCTGCATGGATCACTTTGGGGCTGGTTCGATCTTCAATTGTATCATCATTGGATGGCCACTTGAGCCAAGTTTTTGCTGTCTTGCTGAATAGCATTTTCAACAACCCATGTGCTAATGTGACAGACTTGGGATTGCAGTTGCAAGAGCCTGGTGGTGGCCAACCCTGTCCCAAAAGATTGAAGCTGCAAGTTGGCTTCTTCATCATGGATGGCCAGGCAGCCAAATTTGCTTGGAGCACAAAGGGAGATGCAGGCAGTCGTTTTTGTCAGCATTGTGCCAATGTGTTCCAACTTGCTGCAGATGATGTCAATGATGAAGAAAATGGACACATGTCAGAGGTGTCCAAATACACACACTTCAGCCAGCTGCATTTGGTGGAAAGCCATGAAATTTTTCAAAGCTGGGACAGAATGTCTGCTAGGCATGGGGCCACATCCAAGCAAGAGTTTGCAATGTGGGAGCAAGCAGCTGGCTTGTCCTATTCTCCTTACAGCCTTCTGGCAAAGCAAGGCCTCAGACATGTGTTGAGACCTGCTGACCAGAATTGTTGGGACTGGATGCATTGCCTCTTGTCGAATGGGGTGGTCAATATAGCTGCCTTCAAGTGGCTGGAAGTTCTGGGGGAATGGGAGCTGCTGCATGGCTATGTGCAAAAATTTGTGCTACCAAAGGCATTCAACACAATCCAATTGAAAACTATTTTGGACAGCAAGAGGTTGCCCAAGCACAGAGCCCATGGAAAGATCAATGCAACTGCAAGTGAATTGTTGACACTGTGTTCTGTGCTGGCACATTTTGCCAGAACAGTGTGTGTGCCTGCAAATGTTCACATTCAGGAGACAAACCTGTTTTTGGCCTTGGTTTTGTTTCTGGATTTGTTACAAGCTTCTTGGCATGGCAAAGTTCGACCTGCAGACTTAAAGCATGCTGCTGAAGATTGCTTGGTCCAATGGAACCAATTGTCTTGGAAAATGATCAAAAAACATCATTGGATGTTACATTTCCATGAGATGCTGGAGAAGCATGGTTGCATCCCACCTTGTTTTTGCATGGAAAGGAAAAACAAAGTGCCAGCCAGAATTGCAAGTGGCATTCAAAATACCAGAGCCTTTGAACAAAGTTTGTATTTGGAAGTGGTCACCTTGGAGTTGGAAAGGGTGAAAAGCCCACATGCATTTGCTTTGGATGCTGCAATGGAAGGTGTCAAGCCTGCTGGAAAACCATTGAAGAACGTGGCAGCACACCTTTGGCACAATGTGGACAACCTTCAGACTTGCAAAACAGCCAGGATTTTGTATGGCACTTGCTCCAAAGGCGATGTGGTTTACATGGAAAGTGCAGTGGGCAACAAATTTGATGCATGTGAGATCATGACTTTTGTGAGCAACACAGGAACAGAAGTTGCAATTGGGCATATGCTGGCTTTGAAGCATTTGCACAAGACTTTTGCAGTGTGGATTGAAACAAACCAGCTGGAAGCCATTGATTTGAAACAGCTCAAAGCAGCTGTGAGTTTCTCGAAGAATGAAGGGGAAGTGACCACATTGACTCCATGGCACTTGAGATGAAGGGCAAAATTGGCTCCATGAGTTCTAACAGGTTTTGCATTAGCCATGTTTGGCTCATGTGTGTGGTTGGGTGCTCACAGATAACAAATACATCAGCCTCTTTTGGCTCAACTTTTTGAAAGCTGAAATTAGAAATAATCCACACAATGTGTATATAGCCATTTTTGGCTCATTGTTTCCAAGGAAAAATATCAGCCACTGTTGGCTCAATATGAATGCAAAACTTGAAAAAATCAATTCAATGAAGCCATGAGGCTGATATATATATATGGTTATTTGAACAGATGTACTGTATATGTGTTCCTTTAATTAGTCTCCTAACTAGTTAGCTAACTAGTTAGCTAATTGGTTAAGCTAACCATGATAACTTAATACCTAACCTACATAATTGTATGTTGTAACTCATGTAACCACATAGCAACCCACCAGTTCATCTAAGTAGTAGCCCGGGCGCGCGATGCTTGTCAGCGTTGGGGGTGAAAGAAGGGCAAAGGAGCCCCGCAGAAGGGAGGCCCCGGAGCGCGAGCAACGCCACGAGATGGGCCAGCCCAAGCCAAGAAGCACCAGGCGAAGGTGCCATGGCGGGGCGCTGCAGGGAAGTGCGGGCAGGCCAGAGGTCCGAAGACGTGGGGCCCACGACACGACGTGCCAGCACTTCCCGGCGGCCACCCCAAAGAGCTGCAGGAGGTGCAGGCAGGCCGAGGGAGCACACCAGAGGTCCGAAGACGTGGGGCCCGCGACACCACCTGCCGGCACCACCCTGCAGCTGCAAAGCCGCGGGGGGCTTGAGCCACTTGATTATTTGGTGGACATTCCCATGGGAAATATGATTCACAAACATTGTGGACATGATTGTGCCACTTTACGCCACTTCTGCCCCTTCTGCCCTTTCTGCCTTGTTTGGCATCCTTTGGGTCGTTTTGCCGAAAAAAGGGTCACAAAGCAAAAAGTAAATATTTGGGAATGTGGAAGGTCCAAGGTGGTACCAAAATGGAGGCGCATAGCGGTACAACAATGGAAGCGCACAGTGCTCCCCAAATGGAAGCACAAAATTGAAGAATAAATAATATGTTCTTTGCAAATCTTGTCAAACATATGCAAAATTGAGCCACAGAAACATAAAATATGAACTGAAAATCTAAAGGGCACTCAACTGAAATAAAAAGTTTCAGAGACCCCAATCTCCTCAATTGTTTTTTGAGACACTCACCGCAAGTTGAAAAGATATCAGGGGGAGGGTATGAAATATATTGCTTGGCTGTTTTTAGAAGGCCTCTAACGTATGTCCCGGGGAATATGTCAAGAATTGAAGAGAATCATTAAAAACAATATTAAATATATTTACTCTTTAAAAATTCTTTACGTTTCTTTCCAATTCTTTCCAATTCTTTTCATTTGTCCTTGCAATTCTTTTCAATTCTTTTCAATTCTTTTCAATTCTTTTCATTTTTCCATTTTTTCCCACAATTCTTTCAATTCTGTTCAATTTATTTCCATTTTTTCTTACAATTCTTTTCAATTCTTTTCAATTATTTTCAATTCTTTCCATTTTTTCTTACAATTCTTTTCAATTTCTTTTCAATTCTTTTCAAGTCTTTTCAATTCTTTCCATTTTTTCTTACAATTCTTTCCATTTTTTCTTACAATTCTTTTCAATTTCTTTTCAATTCTTTTCAAGTCTTTTCAATTCTTTCCATTTTTTCTTACAATTCTTTTCAATTTCTTTTCAATTCTTTTCAAGTCTTTTCAATTCTTTCCATTTTTTCTTACAATTCTTTTCAATTTCTTTTCAATTCTTTTCAAGTCTTTTCAATTCTTTCCATTTTTTCTTACAATTCTTTTCAAATTCTTTTCAATTCTTTTCAATTCTTTTCATGTTTCTTACAATTCTTCTCAATTATTTTAAATTCTTTCCGTTTTTTCTTAGAATTCTTTTCAATTCTTTTCAATTCGTTCCAATTCTTCTGTCAATTTCCATATATACTTACAATTCTTTTCAAATCTGTTCAATTCTTTCCATTGTTTCTTTCAATTCGTTCCAATTCTTTCCAATTCTTCTGTCAATTCCAAAGAATTGTCCAAAAATTAGGAATATGAAAAGAATTGCCAGACCAGAATTGAAGAATTTCCGAAAACTTTTGAGAATTGACAAAAAGGAATAGAAATAGATTTCTATTGTTGTACTCCACAAGCGGCTTCTAAAAACAGGTAATATATTGCCCTTCAATTTCAAGAAATTTTCCCCATCTAGGCCACAAGACAACCAAACTAGACCACTGCGGCTTGGGAACCCCCTATGGAACATTTCAAAAATTGATACTTACTCAGCCAATTTATAGTCCTCTACCCTTGACAAAGGAGAATATTTGGGTCGTTTTTTCTTTTTGCCTCGTTTGAGTTTTTTGGGTCGTTTTGCCTCGTTTGCACTTTTTCTGCCGTGCCCTGATCTTTTCTGCCGCGACCTATTCGCATGTCACTGTGACTTCTTCAGCTGTTGCATGTATAAATGCAGATATTTCTGCACCGCGCGTGTTGAGCTGCAAAAAGGGGTGACAAGATCTTTGGACCAAAATGGTGGTACCAAAATAGTGGCTCATAGCGGTACAACAATGGAAGCGCGCAGTGCTCCCTGGAAGCGCAAAGTGGAAGATTAAATATGTACTTCGCAATCCTTGTGAAAAGTACCTTAATTTGAGCCACAGATACATAAAATATCTTAAACTCTAAAGGGCCCTCAACTGAAATAAACAGCTTCAGAGACCCCAATATACTGATAAATTTTATGACACACTCACCGCAAGTTGAACAGATATCAGGGGGAGGGTCTGACATGATGTTGCTTTTCAATTTCAAGAAAATTTCAAACCAACACAAATCAAAATAATGACAACAAATCAAGAAATTGTCTACTTTGAGATCACAGAGATCTTTAAAAAACCCAAAAACGTATGAAGCCCTACGTCAAGTTACGTGAGATAGAGTGATGGTGTCCACATTCTGAATTATTTACCACCTCTGTTTTACATTTTGGATTTAAGACCAAACACGAGAGGAACGTGAGGGGGAGGGCTGGTCAATTTCAGGCCCCAAACAGGGGTCTGAGATCGGTTCCACCTATTGATTTGTTTTTCGATGAGTATGATTTTATACCCCTTTTTGGAGGGGTCTATTATTGTAGTAAATTGGTGATACTTGGCTAGAGTTGGATATATTTTGGGGTGTGGGATCATCACATTTTTGGGGTCTATAATCATATGAAATGATTCTAGATTCTAGACCCCATGTCCCGAAGTGCCCTTAGGATACCATTCCACACCTTTTAGTAGTTGAGGGTATCTTGCGTGTGTGTTGCTGCACATCAGGATGCGAGTCTGAGAGTCCTTTTCAAATTCATCTCCGCGAAGCATAGCTACACCTGAGGGCCCAAGAGAGTTGCAAGCCACCAAAGGACAAACTTGAGAAGTATTGAGAAGTGGCCTGTGATGCATGCAGGGCAAATGAATGGAGCGCAACGGACTTCTTTTTGAAGAGACAGAGCTATCATAGCAGAACTCACATCTTCGTTGATCGAAATGCTTCCAGGTTTGCGTCCTGAGAGCGATGTAGTAAGTCTGGAACTTTGAGGAAGATCCGATACAACTACTTGTGATGGCTCGCCACTCAATGTTCTCCACAACAATACTCTGCTTCTTGAAAATGGCAAAAGATCTAGTTACTTGCATTTTGTGGCGGGAGCGTTAGCAAATAAAGCAGGCATCCTTGGGTTACCAATACCTCCTGACAGCCAATTTCCGCAGGATCTACAATGCAGCACAAAGCAGCTTTCAGCTGGGATGGCGCAGCCGTCAAAGGAGAAGCTTGCTTGGCAAGCATACTAGCGCAGGTGTACATATTATATGTACAGCGTGTAGCAACGACCTCATCAAGCATTGTTTTTAAAAACCATGATAGAAAGATAGGATAGTAATACGTAGTAATACTATGATCAGTTGCAGTAAAAATGTTCAGGAGGCTGCGAACCGTTCATTATCACTGCTGCACTTTCCAATGACAGCAAGTCGTGGCTCGACAGCAAGTACCGCATTTGCTGTCAAACCCACTCTCAAGCAAATCATCTGCATCCGCATTTAATCGGAAAGAACCCATACGTGCCCATCTGGACTGACTGAAAAATATCGTCACATACAACATCGTCACATGTAAATGGTGGTTGCTTGTGCTTCTCACAGGAAGGATGGTGAAGCTGCATTTGGTTCTGCAGGCACATCTTCCTGCTTATCCTCTGCCACTTCTTCCTTCGGCTCCTCCGGAGCTGCTTCTACTGCTGGTGCCTCCTCCTTCTTACCCTCTGCTGGTTCTGCTGGCACTTCTTCCTTCGGCTCCTCCGGGACTGCTTCTGCTGCTGGTGCCTCCTCCTTCTTATCCTCTGCTGGTTCTGCTGGCACTTCTTCCTTCGGCTCCTCCGGGGCTGCTTCTGCTGCTGGTGCCTCCTCCTTCTTACCCTCTGCTGGTTCTGCTGGCATTTCTTCCTTCGGCTCCTCCGGAGCTGCTTCTACTGCTGGTGCCTCCTCCTTCTTACCCTCTGCTGGTTCTGCTGGCACTTCTTCCTTCGGCTCCTCCGGGTCTGCTTCTGCTGCTGGTGCCTCCTCCTTCTTATCCTCTGCTGGTTCTGCTGGCACTTCTTCCTTCGGCTCCTCCGGGTCTGCTTCTGCTGCTGGTGCCTCCTCCTTCTTATCCTCTGCTGGTTCTGCTGGCACTTCTTCCTTCGGCTCCTCCGGGTCTGCTTCTGCTGCTGGTGCCTCCTCCTTCTTATCCTCTGCTGGTTCTGCTGGCACTTCTTCCTTCGGCTCAACTTCTGTTGCTGCTTCTTGGGTTGCCACCTCTGCAGGTGCCATTGCTTCTGCAGCTTTGGTTGCCTGAACATTGATAGCCTCCTGTGTTGCAG